TCGCACCCGATTAAGGCATCATAGAGGTCCCAAGTGTCATGCTTTTGTTGTCGGTAAAATGGATTAAAGTTGAGAGGCTGAAGCCTGCAATTTTAAGATCCATGGTCGCAGCGTCGGTAATGCGGAGCGTATGGCCGCTTACTCCGGTAGCCAGATCTGTGTAAGGTGTATCTAAGTCCCGAATACCAAAGAGGACAGCTGCGGTATCCTGAAATAAAGTGAGTCCACTTCCGTTGTCTATAAGTGCAGTAGTGAATATTCCGTTGACGTTAACAACTATTTGGGCATTGTATGCTCCCCGGAAGGCCTGCGCGCGCACCGGAAGCGATAAGACATTAAGAGTGCGAGAATGACCTCTGAGTCGTCCGTCTTTGACCGTGCATTGTGCTGCACTGGGCATGCAATCGGTGCTGCGGACACTGTTGGTGCCTCTGTTCGGACCCTCATGAGGGAATGTATGGTGCTGACGGTAACTGTGACGTCACTGGCCCCAGCCGTGATGTTGGTTAAGCGTCTATTTTGATGGAGCAGTGCTTGGTTCTGCTGTCGCAGTCGCACTAATTTTTGATTGTGGCCAAGATCTTGTTCATCAGGCCAAACCGGCTCTGACGAGGGTATCAACTGAATACAGGGGACGCACGCATTAACTACTGCTGGATCAGGTCTGGCCCTGTCCTGTGGCGGTGCAGTATTGTCGGGAGGTAAGCGCTCTCTACAAAAGTAGGCTGTGTGACCCGCTCGTCTGCAATGCCCCACAGAACAGATTGCCTGAAGCTGTACGTCCGTAGGCGCGGTTACTGTTCCTATCTCTGTTAGGTCTAAGCCAGATCCTGCCCCGTTGTTGTTGTTGATGTCTAGCGCTTGAAGAATTTTGTCGACGGGGTTGATCTGCCCCCCTGCCAGACTGGTACCGTGGAAACGCGAGGGGACTGTTATTTCTGCGCAGCTGGCGCGAGTATCCCTCCCGGAATCCGCCGCATCTTTCGAAAAAGGCTGGCTCATAATTACATTCGCGTTGGCCTCGACTTCGCGTCGTTATTAGTCCTTCAACAAAGTGTGTTAAATACTGGACCTGCTCTTTCAAGCTGTCGTGACTGTCTTGAACGGTTTGCACGCGCGGGACAGCTCGCGAAGTGGCGCCGCCGACGTCTGCAGCGAACATGTGGAGCACTTTGCTGAAGGCAGTTTCGAAGGTTGACGGATCAAACGACTTGACAAAAAACGGAGTCTAGGTGATAAACGCTCAAGGAATTCGTCGAGGTATCGCTCCTTAAAAACTGATTCCGGCTGACTCGC